GATCCCCTGGAGAAGGAAATGGCAACCCACTCCAGTATTCTTGCCTGGAGAATCCCGTGGACAGAGGAGCCTGGCAGCTACAGTTCATGGGGTCGCAAGAGTTGGACACGACTTAGCAACTAAACCACCACCACCACCACCACATCGATACACTAATGGCCAAAGCCACATGGTGATCTCATATAGTCATAAAACCTATTTAAAATAAAACGCCTCATACATAGCACTCTCTAACCTAAAAAGGGAACATAACAAATATTCAAGCATCATAATCAACAGTGAAATTACTGAGGTGTAGAGCCAACAAGTTGCAGAGCCAGGATTCAACTCAGGTCATATGACTCCAGGCCACCCTCTTACTATACTGCCTTTATATAAACATAATAGTAAATTAGTGAGAGATCAACAACACCAGTTACAACGAGGGCTTCCTTGGTGGCTCAGTGGTAAAGAATCTGATTGCCAAAGCAGGAAACACAGGTTCAGTCCCTGGATCAGGAAGATCCCCTGCAGAAGGAAATGGCAACCCACTTCATTATTCTTGCCTGGGTAATACCATGGATAGAGGAGCCTGGAGGTCTACAGTCCATGGGATTACAAAAGAGTCAGACAGGACTTAGTGACTAAAGAACAACAATAATGAGATCACCATGTTTATGGTCATCAAGAAAACCTTAATAATTAGCTCCAGTATAGTTAAATGCCAGATACTGTGACCATATGCAATAAGACTAAGTAAAGCAAAAGCAAATTATAAACAGAATATCTGAAATTAACAAACTAGAAAACTTAAACCTTAAACCAAAATGTTAAATTACATATAAATAACTTAATTAGATATATATATATATATCTTGATATATATCAACCCACTACAGTATTCTTACCTGGAGAATCCTATCTACATAGGACCCCAAGCTATAGTCCATGGGGTCACAAAGAGTTGGACACCACTGAGCGACTGAACTGAATTGAACTGAACTGAAGTGACTTAGGACTCATATGCTCCAAACAAACCTCCATTCTAGTCTTTAAATATGTAAGATCCTTCTCTGATTTGAGACTTTTCTCTTGGTCTTCCATCAATGTGAAATATTATTCCTCTCATTCTTCACTGGCTAGATCAGTCTCATTCTTTTAGTCATCTAATCACACTCTGCAGTAATGACCTCCGTAAGTATTCTATCTGAAGTGACGTAAGTTACTAACTACCTCATTTATTTCTCTTACTGTCTTACTTCAAACGGTAACTATTGTGTCTATTTACTTACTTTCAGAAGTTTTCCCACTTGCCACAACTCACATTATAAACTCCATGAAACCAGGGACCTTGTCTATCTTCTTCTATAGACAAGTGTAGGAAGTACAGCAGTCTTAGAGTAAGAGTTCAAGAAAGAGAAAACAGAAGGGATCAGCAAAAGTGATAAAAAGTGAAACTATAGATGTTTTCCTGCCACTAAATAAAGACAAGAGCCTTTAGGTTGAAATTACCATCAAAAGATAAACAGAATAAAGAAGAGAAAAATCTAAGTCTAGACAGTTCATGGAAAAATTTCACAACACTAAGGATAACAATTTTTGCAAGACAGAAGTTTTTAGAGTAATAAAGAGGCTATCTGCAAACAAATTAAAATCAGATTAACATGAGTCCTCTTAACCAGTATAATTTAACATCAGAAAATAAACCTAATACACCATATTAAAAGAATAAATGACAAAATCTCCATGTGATCTCAAAGGCACAGAAAAAGAATTTAATCTCATTCATTACAAAAATTATCAATGGACTTGGAATAGAATGGAACTTCCTCAAACCAATAAAGAGGAACTATAAAAACACTTATAGCTAAAAATCATATTTAATGGAGAATAACTGAATACCTTCCTCTTAAGGCTGGGACCAAGCAAAGGTGTTTACTGCCATGGCTACTATTCAGTACAGTACTGGAAATTCTAGTCAGTGAGATGAAATAAAAATGTTTAAGAAAAAAAGAAATCTTGATTTTAGAAAGAAGAGTATTCACAAACAACATAATATTGCAAATAGAAAATCTTAAGAAATCCACATAAAAACTATTGGAATGAATAAATGAGTTAAGTTCATAAGATAGAAGATAAAAAAATCATATAAGTTCATAGTATATAATATACAAAAAGTCACTGGATTTCTATATTTTAGCAATGAACAGCAGAAAGTTAACATATCCCATTTTCAATAGTAGCAAAAACATCTTAGAAATAAATTTAGCAGAGAAATGCAAGACCTGTAAACTGAAAGCTATACAGCTTTGCTGAGGGAAATGAAAGATCTAAATAAACAGACAGCCATTCTTTTTCATGGATTGTACAGCTCAATATTTTTAAGATGACTCATTTTCCCAGATTTGTCAGTAGTATCAATGCAATATCTATTCAAATTCCAGGAGTCTTTTTTTCCCCAGTAAATGACATGCCAATACCAAAAATTTGTAGAGAAATCCATAGGATCCACAAGAGCCAAAACAGTGTTAAAAAGATCAAGGATGGGGACTTCCCTGGTGGTCTAGTGGTTGAGTCCACCTTCCAAAGCAAGAGACATGGGTTTGACTCATGGTTGGGGAACTAAGATCCCACCTGCCATGGAGCAACTAAGCCTATGTGCCTCATCTAGAGAGTAGCCTGTGCTCCACAAAGAAGACCCTGCACACTGCAACAGAAGATCCTACATGCCACAACTAAGACTCAACGCAGACAAAATAAATGGTTAAATTTAAAAAAGACCAAGGATGGAGGATTATATTTCTTAATTTAAAACTTACTAAAATGCAAAAGTAACCAGAATATGTGATACTGGTATAGGATAGAAATACCAATCAAGGGAACAGAATTTATACTCCAGAAATAAACTCAGGTGAATTAATTTTTAATAAAAGTGTTAACTTGATGGGGAAATGATATCCTTTTTGACAAACTGTCCTGGGACAAATCACGTTGTAACTTGAATATAGACCTAGTCATGTAGAAGGCATGGAGAAAATCTTCTTGACCCTGTTTTAGGCGACTTTTAAAATATGATACAAAAAAACACCATTGATAGAAGAAAATGTTGATAAACTGGATTCCATCAACGTTTAAAACTTTCAAGCTTCAAAGACACCATTAACAACTTGTGTCCAAACAAATGTCCATCAACTAATGAACAGATAAATAAATGTGGTACATCAATACAATGGAATACTATTCAGCAACAACAAAGAATACTGAGATATGCTATAACCTGGATAAACCTCAAAAACAGTATCATAAATGAAAGAAGACATAAAATAATTCTAATGATATAAATTAATATATAATGATATAAATATATGAAATATTCAGAAATACAAAATATTTTGAGGCAGTAGGTTTATTAGTGGATATTGGGCTGGACATGGAAATGAGGCTTGACTGTAAACAGGCATAAGGGGTCTTTTTCAGATGATGGAAATATTCTAATGTTAGACTGTGGTAATGATTGCACAACTTTATAGGCTTTTTAAAAGCAATGAATATGAAATTAATTAATGAATTAAATCTGATGACTGTTAAGTAAATAATAGCTCAATAGAGCTGTTTTTAAAAAGCAGAGAGAAAAATTTATAGTGCAAATATGATACAAACTAAAATGTGACATAATTTTTGTTATTCAGAAATTGTAAGAAAATATAATCAGTTTGTCTTTGTTGTTGTTATTCAGTAGCTAGGTCAAGTCCGACTCATTGTGACTCCCTGGACTGGAGCATGCCAGGCTTCTCTCTTTCACTATTCCCTGGAGTTTGCTCAAACTCATGTTCATTGAGTCAATGATGCCATCCAACCATCTTATCCTCTATTGTTCCTTTCTCCTCCTGCCCTCAATCTTTCCCAGCATCAGGGTCTTTTCCAATGAGTTGGCTCCTCACATTAGATGATAAAGCGTTGGAGCTTGAGCTTCAGCATCAGTCCCTCTGATGAATATTCAGGGTTGATTTCCTTTAGAGTGACTGGTTTGATCTCCTTGCAGTTCAAGAGACTCTCAAGAGTCTTCTCCAGCACCACAGTTCAAAAACATCAGTTCTTTGGCACTCAGCCTTCTTTACGGTCCAACTCTCACATTCACATATGATTCCTGGAAAAACCATAGTTTTGACCCTACAGACCTTTGTTGGTAAAGTGATGTCTCTACTTTTTAATACACTGTCTAGGTTTGCCATAGTTTTCCTTCCAAGGAGCAAGCATCTTTTAATTTCATGACTGCAGTCACTGTCCACAGTGATTTTAATAATTATATTTAATCTTGCACTGATTTAGTCAAATACCATTACATTTCCCTTTTTGTGGCTGCATATAAGTTATTTGGTTCCAGAACAAACTGTACACACACACACACACACACACACAGAGTAAACAAATTTACAAACAGGAAATACGCTAATTACTTCTCAATTTTTAGAGTAAATAGTAAATGTACTCATTATTTGTCAGTTCTTAGAATTAATCTGAAATATAAGATCAGCCTAAAATATGGAAAATTTAATATAATACTTTTATTTTTTCCTGATTTTGATCTGGCTGTGCATTTACCTTTATCTTGATACTTAAAACCTAGAGTCCCAAGGAACTACTTAATTTTCATTTTAAGTAAAGCATTCAGTTTCCTCATTATAAAATTGGGATAATAGTGGCTGACTTGTAGGGTACTGTGAAGATTCAAGATAATGTATGTAAAGCTACTTTTACATCATAGGTGAATAGTAACTCATTCTAAGTTACATCTGGCGATGGCTTCATGAAATTTATTGTGGATTTTATTTTGAGGCTTCATTCCCCTCCCCCCACCCCAGACAGTGAAAATAACTTTGGTACAGAAAGGCACAAAAATCAGCAAGTCTTACTGTCTCTGTTGAAAGAAGGACAGGTTTCTCTTTATCTTCCACAATCCAGGCTTGAATGTGGAAATCTAGAAAGATTTTTAAGGACTTGGGAGAACTGCATATACTCACATGAATCACTGCAGTCCACATAGATGTTTTGAAATTGGTTGGCACACAGTTTTTTCACCTCATGGTCATCAAAGAATTTGCTGATACTCATTGCAAAGTTGTAACTAGGAAGCACCATTAATGCATTATTCATTAAGGTTCTTGTGAAATCAGAAATGTCATCATCTATGATTAAAAAGATGATAGATTAGCTTTCAGTTAGAAAGCAGTGACTCTCCCATAACAACAAAGATGATCAGAGGATTTCCTAAGATGATCAGAGGATTACCAGTCTAGCAGATCATCTTTGAGAAAACACTAGTCACTAAGTCATGAAGCTTCTTCATCTTCGTAGTTTGTAGTATGGACTTGTCAGTTACAGATTTTTAAAAGAAGACTTTTGCTAACAGTATTTCCCTAGGGTCTGTCTTCCGCCATCTTTATGGGTGGGTCTGCTATTAAAATCCCTACCTTGGCTTGGCCTTAGATTTTCCCTTTGTTCCCTGTCCAGCCTGAAAAATGGAAAATCATGGGATTCTGAATATTCCTTTGTTGTTGTCCTCTGAAATTTCTTGAGAGATAAATGATGTGTTTAAAAAGTTTGAATAATTTTTTGTCCAACATACATTGTTATTTTAAGTAGGAGGGCAATTTGCCTTCCAGAATCCTCCATTTTTCTGGACATGGCAGTCTCCACTGAATTTCTCACTGCCAAGTTCAGTAGCCTCTTTGTCATATTTCTTTTATTTTTCACTTTGAACCAACACTCTACCCTTTTCCACTGTACTTTCTGCCCTGGGAGGATTATCTGTGTAGAATAAATCAAAGGACTTCTTTGCTCTCTGGCTCTTAGTTGGCCTAAGCAAGGCCGATAGCAAGCCCTGACTGGAGAGAGGAAGGTTTCACTAGTATGTTCACTTTGTGAAAATTTATTAAGCTATACATTTATGGTCTCTTCACTTTTCTGAATGCAAGTTATATTTCAATAAAAAGTAAATATGGGAAATACATTCTTGAAAAGCTCTGTGCTTACAGTCCTCTGTAGGGTGAATATAATGATAGAGTATGTTACAATAGAATGTGGTTCCCTGACACCTTTGGGAATAATGGAATTCTACAAAGTAGAAGTCAGGTGGCAGAACTTAACTATTAGAAGCAAGGTAGGAACCATTACTACAATAAGTAACAGGGACAGTCCATAAAATCATACTCCAGGAGAAGAGTCTTCATTATTAGAAACTGGAATTCGTAAAACCCGTATTATCGGGGAGGGCTGAGTTGACTAATATAGCTCAAAATTCATGGTTATAGAGACACTCAACAAAGGGATATTCTAGATGCAAACAAAACAAATCTTATTGGTGATAGTCACCACCAGCAACAGCATGTCTTTAAATTTCATAACCAGAAAAGGGAGAACCTACTCCTGATACTCTTTTGAAATCAGACAAACTGGTTTAATGATGACTACATTTGTTGTTTATTTGTTTCCTTCTGAAAAACACTCATTAGGAGGTTCAAGATTATGTGCTTCATTAAATTAGAAGGAGTTATACCATAGCATCTTCCACTCTCCAGTCTCACCACCTTGCTCCAAAGTGCTCTTAAGATGTTAAAACTGAAGGATCAAGTCTCAAGAGCATGGTGTGTGGGGGGTGATCTTTCAAAGGACATAAAAATTGGCACAGGTGTGCTTTAATCTTTTAATTTTTAATTTTATAACTTTTTTTTTTTTTTTTTGCCATGAGGCTAGAATGATACTGAATCCATCGCCTTCAGAGGCTTAGTGTCTCTCTCATCCTCTTGCCCACTTTTTCTTTCCCTTCCCCTCTATCTCATTTGCTGACTCCAAAGAGCACAAGTTTTTAGCTTCCTGGAAAGTAAGTGTTTAGCAATTAATGTTTTTATCCTCCAGCTCTTTCATCATCATTTATTTAATGCTTTTCCTGGAGAAAGGAAAAATTGTGTGAAGTCCTTACCATAGAATTTCATTATGATGTGAATGACGATACTGAAAACAGTTGAAAAGTAGTTAAAGAGGGTGAGCTTGATGTAGGCAGCAGTACTACTAGAAAACAGGAGGCTTCCAAGATACATGAGAGGAACAACAGACCAACCGTACAGCATAAAGATCATCATTGTGTCCAGAAAATGGAAATTTGCAACAAAGGCATCCACTCCGCAGTATATGAACACTCCCTGAGACAGAGTACAGAGGTAAAGAGCAAGGTGAAGGACACTGTATAACACGTTGTCAAGCCAGAGAACTTAGAAAACAGCAAGCACTGCCTTCATTAGTGCATAGATTCATTACTTTAAAAATTTTACCCATTAAAAATAAGCCTGAAGTGAGCAATCTCTTTTTCAATAGAGGACTCTCATGAACAGAATGACTATATTTCCTTTCTCTTTTTTTTCCTTTTGGAAGAGCATCACTTTGTAGCACTCTCATGATTAAAATTAAATTAACTATGTCTACAGTAAGCCCAACTCTGAATTTTCCCAGAAAAAAAGTGATCTAGTGCATAGATGATTTCTCTATAGATTTTCTCTAGATGAAAGCATGTGCATGTATGCACTTTCACCCTACCACATCACTCTGCTTGATACGCACCCCCTCCCAAATTGTATGTAACTATTTTATATTGTTAAGTTAATCATGTTCCCATTATGGCTTGCAATTGTAATTATCTTTTATTTTTTGTCTGACTGTTGATTGTGGAAACTGATAAACCTCTTTTGCTATTGTGATTATGTAACTATTACTCACTTAATACCATTGTATGAATGGTCAATAGAAAAATAATAGAACTCTGTATCACCAGAACTAGGATCTACTAGAAAAACCTGTAATTACTTTTTAAAGTCCAGATGCAAATCAGAATTATCTTTAAATTTTTTGAAAAATATAAATACTCAGGTATTGCTTTTTTTCTCCAGAACTCCAGCTATGTTTCTAATGAGCAGTCATATTTAAAACCAACTGGACTATATGATGATCTTTTACTTTTATCTAGTTTGTTTTACTTTCTCTATTTCATATTCAGTGCTCCCATTTCATTTAGTTTATGTACTCCAGTTTCTCCATCTCTCTTTTTTTTAATGTTCTTTCTCAGCCTTTATCAAGTGTAGTAGAAAAGCTTTTGTATACATATATAAAAACATGTATAACATATTACATTACAATCATAATATATAAATATATTAAAAAAAGGTTTTCTCTGTGACTGCTATAGTGTTATGCAATCTCTTTGCATCACACCTCACACTTAGGCTGTCTCCTGGCTCCACTCTCTACCCCAGGCCTTTTACGTCTATCTCAGGAACTCAAGGACATCCTCTTTCAATCATTTCTCGTTCCATTTGAGAATCAGACAGGGAAGCATAAATTGGGCAGATTAGGAAAAAGGGAACCTCTAGAACTATTAAGAAGATAATTTTCTAATAACCTATATGGTAATTGTTGGTAACTATAATTTCTCTAAAGATAGCAAGTTTGGCCCTTTTAAGTTTCACCTTTTAAAATAATTTACAAAATTATTTATCAGGGCCACTAATAAACAGAAAGAGTTAACTAAGAATAGCCACATTACAACACTGTGATGCTCTTGGAAGTAGTTTATACTTAAGCAATAATGTTTAAAGAAAATATATGAAGAGGATCAGCAATCTTGGGTGAAAACCAGTTTTAACTATAGTTGGTTTTCCCCTAATCCAAGTAAGAGAAGTAAAAAGAGTAAAGTCAGCAGGAAACCACAGGTAACCTAGAAGCAGCTTCATTCCAAGGCTTATAATGCTTAGGGATATCTTAAATTAGAACTATTCCAAAGAAAATTTAAATTTCTACTTGGAAATATGAAGACACACCCTACTTTTAGATAGAATCTGACCCAACATAGTAAGAAAGTAAACTCTCCCCAAATTACTGTACATAAAAATAGCAACAAGATTTTAAAAATATTAGATAAGCTGATTTTACAGATTACCTGTAAACAAACAAAACATATCAAGATAGCCAGGAAATTCTGCAGAAGAAGGTTAATGAGGGAAGTGAGGAAGGTCAATCCATAAAAATAATTAAATATATTATAAAACTACCATAATTAAAACAGATTTGTAGAGGCATATTATAGACACATCAATGGAATATGGTAAAGAATACAAAGTGAGAGTGAAACTGAAAGTCGCTCAGTTGTGTGTCTGACTCTTGGTGACCTGATGGATTATACAGCCCATGGAATTCTTCAGGCCAGAATACTGGAGAGGGTAGCCTTTCCTTTTTCCAGTGGATTTTCCCAACCTAGGGATTGAACCCAGAACTCCTACACTGCAGGTGGATTCTTTACCAGCTGAGCCACAAGGGAAGCCCTAAGATACTTAATATTGTTAAATTATAGGATCTTGCTTCCTCTTGTCGGGTCCAAGAATAAATCTAGCTGGTGGCATTTTACAGAACCAGAGCAGAGTAAGGGAGTGTCTCATGTAAAACAACAAAGAGATAGCCAAGTCAGATAAATAAGCAAAGCTGAGAACCCATGGAGAACTCCATCTGAGAACCATGAAAGGGAATTTTGGGAGGGGGAGAGCAAGACAGAAAGAGAAGAGGAGAGAGAGAGAGAAACCCATACACACACACACACACACACACACACACACACACACACACACACACACGCAGAACAAGCGCTACCAGGCAAAAAGGATACAGAAGATATAAAGTGAAGTATGATGCTAAGACAGAGAGAACTGCATATATGAGAGTAGAAATAAGTTTAAAGTACATTACTCAGGATGACTTTGAATATATAAATTACAATACACTGAAGTAAGGCTAACTTGGGTTACGAAATTGGGTGAAATTGGATAAGTAAATTAGATCTGTGAGTCTTAATTTCCTTGACTGTAAATATGGTGAATTAAAATCACTTCAGACTTGAATGTTTTTGAATGATATAACACACACACACACACACACACACACACACGGCAAATAACTTCTCATGAGCCATAAATGGCAATATTGCTATAAGTATTAATAATGGATGGTCTTATTTATACATCTATTAACCAGGAAATGACAGCTGGGTGTGCCAGTCAAGTTTAAAGAACCAGAGAAAGAATGGATCCTTGGCATGGAGATGAGAAGATGCAGGGGTTTTTCTTATTGATTTCAATACTGCATTACATAGAGGGGAGATAGTAAAGAGATTGTGCTTAGATCAACTCCCCTATTCTTGTGGCAAAAGATGAGAATTGTGGCCCTCAAAAAGGATGGTGGGCTCCCCTAGTTATGCTAGTTGGCTAGTTAGCTGTGAAAAGAAACTGGCACTGAGAACGCTGGCCAAAGTCTTGCACTGTGACAAGAAAGTGCTGCTCTGCTCTTTCAACTTTGGGGCACCTCTGTACATACTATTTGCTCACCGCTCCCATCTAGGCCTCAACTGTTCCAGCCTCTGGTCCCTGCCGAGGAGCTGTTAAACCTGGCGGGATGCAGCTCTCCTTCATAACTAAGCCTAGGGCTCCAAACTGATCAAAAGCTTCTCCTTTTTCCTCAAAAAACTAATTTTACCTTTCCATGGTATGTATAGTTTGAATTAGGACTTGGTAGCTCATCCTTGATAGTAGAACTAGCCACCTATTTTATACGTCCATTGCTGAACAGTGAACTATTTGAGGGCTTAGACATTGTCTTACTCGTATTTAAGTCCACCATACCTCTGGTAGCCACTCGCTATGGTAGCTCAGATAGTAAATTATCTGCCTGCAGTGCAAGAGGCCCGGGTTCAATCCTTGGGTAGGGAAGATCTCCTGGAGGAGAAAATGGCAACCCACTCCAGTATCTTGTCTGCAGAATTCCATGGACAGAGGAGCCTGGTGAGCTACAGTCCATAGTGTCGGAAAGAGTCAGACACAACTGAGCGACTAACACTTTCACTTTCTTTTATAACTTTTGTACATAAAAAAACCTTACCTCCTTTACTCATGTGTCTATCCCTTTAGTAACTATACAACTTCACATCTACCTCAGCTTCAGATATACATACAAAGTAAAAGACATTGCTAAGTCTCATTCACTAATGAGAAAATCATTACATTAAAGGACACTGTAACATCCTTACAAGCTTGCTCTTTAGTCTCAATATCTAAAATTGGGTGTCTGAGTCAAAGTTATTTCTGCTTTGCAGATCTAGCCATTTTGGATTTGGGGCATGAATGGGAGACTACTGTGAATAGTAATGGAAAGCCTCGCTTAAGTCATGATTCTAAATTGCTACAGTCCAGTTTTACCAGAGAGCTTAGCATTGGGAATTAGTGGCAGTGAATTATCTATATGATTAGTGAGGGATAAGTAACAAGTAATAGCACTTTCCCCTTTAGTTTTGGGCCCTGGGTATTATGCTGAGCAATTACATGGGAAGCCAATTCAAGAGAGACTTCAAAGAAAAGTAATTTTTTTCCAACTGAAAGAACATGAGGTAGTACACTTCCATAATGAGGTTTTCACAATATATTCTCTGGCATGATAAGCCAAAGTAGTTTCAAATTTCTTCAAGTTTTATTTCAGGATACAATTAATTGAATAGAAATTTCCTGTGGGAAACATAAAAAAATAAGCCTTTGTGCAAATTCAGCTAACACTCACCAGTAGGAAGCAGCAGGTAATGGAGAAGTAGATGAGATCCCAGAGCAAAGCAGAGAGCCAGTAAGTCAGTAAATAGACTCCACTCACAAACTGGATGTGCTTTGCCTTAGTGGCTCTCTCGGTCACTGTCTGAATGCAAAAACTACCAATCACAACAGCCAGGCCGAAAGCCAAACACAATACTACTTGTGATCCACTTGTAGGCCTATGGAAAATGAAATAAAAGATGGAATAAATAATGAAATAAAAGTATAAAATGCTAATTTCAGTAGTTATTTTCAAACATACATTGCCACTTAACAAGGATATATATTAAGGCTCAATTCCAGTAAAAGGAGTCAATCATACATACACTGTGTTAGAACCATAACGAGGGAGAGGTTGAGGCTTATTGGAGACTTTAATGGAAGCATTGGGGCCAGAAACTGACATGAAAAGAACGTTGTCAAACACCGCTAGGGATGTTGCAGCTGAATGATATGCCTCATTATTGAAAAAAATAGTAAATACTGTATTGTTTTTCTCAACCTCAATGGAAAATGCAATCAGGGAGAAGTCACGATACTCTTTACTTTCCTTTATGTATTTCATTACATTACCTAGAATAAAGAAAGAAATTGATTAGTCAGTATGTAATAAGTCACCTACTACTCATGTCAAAGTGGAAAGACCAAAACTTTTTCCCATTGTCTCTTCCCTTTTCAATTACCACAATGGCTACTTCAAATTTCCTCAAGAATTCTGCACCACCAGTAATCCCTACTATAAGTTTACAACTTGAAAAAACAGTAAACTGCTAAGAATTTCTTGCTCTATTCTTGTCTAAAACAAACATAGTTTTTTTTTTTTTCAAAATTGTTTTGGTTCTTCTAGGTCATTTACATTTCCTCATACATTTGAGGATTGACTTGTCCATTTCAGCAAAAAAGTCTGCTGAAATTTTGATAAGAATTGTGTTGACTGTATAGATCCACTTGGGGAAATTTTCTATCTTAATGATATTCAGTATTCCAATCCATGATATGGAATATCTCTTCATGTATCTAGAACATTAATTTTCCTCAGAAGTATTTATAACTTTCAGTGTACAAGTCTTGCACCTCTTCTTACATTTATTTGTATGTACATCATTATTTTTGATGCTGTTGTGAGTTTTGGTATTCTGTGTCCTCACCCCACCCCTTTAATCTTTCATCTAAGTTAGATTTTTAAAATTCCAGCCTGAAAAATCTCTGCCTTTTGATTGGATTTTTTAATGCATTTATATTTAATATAATTACTGATATTCTAGTATTTATAACTGACATTTTGCTTTGTGTTTTCTATATGTCTTATCTCCTTTTTGTTCTTCTATTACGCAAGTATGCATTTTGTGTTAAATATATATTTTATAGTGTACCAGTTGTTGGTATCAATAATAAATGGACCATTGTCAGCAAAGTGATGTCACTGCTTTTTAATATACTGTCTAGGTTTATTGTAGCTTTCCTTCCAAGGAGCAAATGTCTTTTAATTTAAACACTGCAGTCACCATCCACAGTGACTTTGGAGCCCAAGAAAATCAAATCTGTCACTGCTTCCACTTTTTCTGTTTTCTGTTTTACTATTTCACTTTTCCTATTTGCTGTGAAGTGATGAGAGAGATGCCATGATCATATTCTTTTGAATGTTGAATTCAAGCCAGTTTTTTTCACTCTCCTCTTTTACCCTCTTCAAGAGGTTCTTTAGCGCCTCTCAATTTCTACCATTAGAGTGGTATCATCTACATGTCTGAGTTGCTGATATTTCTCCTAGCAACCCTGAGTCCAGTTTGTGATTCAGCCAGTTTGGCATTTCACATGGTATATTCTGTATAGAAGTTTAACAAGCAGGGTGACAATATACAGCCCTAACATACTCCTTTCCCAATGTGAGCCAGTCAATTGTTCTATGTCTGGTTCTAACTGTTACTACTTGACCTGCATACAGGTATCTTAGGAGACAGGTAAGGTGGTCTGGTACTCCAATCTCTTTAAGAATTTTCCAAAGTTTGTTGTGAACCACAGTCAAAGGCTTTAGCATAGTCAATGAACCAGAAGTAGATGTTTTTCTGGAATTCCCTTGCTTTCTCTCAATCAAACGAATGTTGGCAATTTGATCTCTGGTTCCTCTGCTATTTCTAAACCCAGCTTGTTCACCTGGAAGTTCTTGGTTCATGTACTGCTGAAGCCTAGATTAAAGGATTTTGAGGATTACCTTGGTCTCATGTGAGATGAGTGCAATTTTGTGGTAGTTTGAACATTCTTTGACATTGTTCTTTGGGATTGGAATGAAAGCTGATGGTTTCCAGTCCTGTGGCCACTGCTGAGTTTTCTAAATTTGATGACATATTGAATGTAGCATTTCAACAGGATCATCTTCTAGGATTTGAAATAGCTCAGCTGGAATTCCATCACTACTAACTTCGTAGAAATTCTTCCTAAGGCCCACTTGACTTCACACTCCAAGATATCTGGCTCTAGGGGAGTGACCACACCATCATGTTTATCTGGATCATTAAGATCTTTTTTGTATAGTTCTTTTGTGTAGTTTTGCCACCTCTTCTTAATCTCTTCTGCTTCTGTTTGATTCTTACCATTTCTGCCCTTTATCATGCCCATCTTTGCATGAAATAGTCCCTTGATATCTCTAATTTTCTTGAAGAGATCTATAGTCTTTCCCATTCTCTTGTTTTCCTTTATTTCTTTCCATTGTTCATTTAAGAAAACCTTTCTTAAATCTCTCCTTGCTATTCTCTGGAACTCTTCATTCAGTTGGGTTATTTTTCCCATTCTCCCTTGCCTTTCACTTCTTTTCTTTCCTTTCCTCAGCTATTTGTAAAGCCTCCTCAATCAACCACTTTGTCTTCTTGCATTTCTTTTCCTTTGGGATGGTTTTGATCACTGCCTCAGGTACAATGTTATGAACCTCCATCCACAGTTCTTCAGGCACTCTGTCTACCAGATCCAATCCTTTAAATCGAATTCATCACCTCCACTGTGTAATCACAATAGATTTGATTTAGGTCATACCTGAATGACTTAGTGGTTTTCCCTACCTTCTTCAATTTAAGTCTGAATTTTGCAGTAAGAAGCTCATGGTCTGAGCTACAGTCAGGTCTTATTTCTAGGTCTTATTTCTGACTGTACAGAGCATCTCCTACTTCTATTGCAATATGTTGTTTAGTGGTGTTTGGTACTGAGCCTTCTGAAAAGAATACAAAATTTTCAGTAGTCTTTTTATTATTTTTTGCCAATTCAACACTCCACTTCTAATATTCATTCATACTGTTTTGGGTAAATTTTATGTTTTTTTATTACTATATGATATGTCATCATGTGAATATATTCAAATTTAAAATTTTTCTTTTTAATGACCTTTTTTTAGTTAATATTATTTTCCTCCTCTGCTTTCAAGATTCCCTTTTTGACTTTTACCAGTTAAATTATGTTGTGTTAGGTGTGATTATTTTTCAGTTTACCATACTTAGAATTCATTAAACTTCTTGGAGGTAAAGATTAATGTTTTCCATTATATTTGAGAAGTCTTCAGTCATTATTTCCTCAAATACTTTTCTGCCCTTTCATCAGTCTCTTTGCCTCCTGGTTCTCCCATTATGCCTATGTTGGCATGCTTGATGTTGTTCCATGTCTCAGAAGCTGTTCCTTCCCATCTTTCTGTTTCACAGATTGGATAATCTTTATTAACTATCTTCAATTTAACAACTCATTTTTCTGCCAATTCAAATCTATCATTGGGTCCCTCTGGTGAAATTTTCATTTCAGTTATGTTTTCCAACTACAGAATTTCCATTTGAAATTTTTATTTATATTTCTTTATTAAAATTCTCTTCTTGGAGAGATGAAGTTGCCATACATTCCTTTATTTTTTAAACATATTTCCTTTAGTATGTTGAAAATATTTGTAATAGCTGATTTATAGTCTTGATGCTTTCAAAATGTGGTCCTGGAGAGGATTCTTGGGAATCCCTTGGACAGCAAGATCAAACCAGTCAGTTCTAAAGGAAATCAACTCTGAATACTCATTGGGAGGACTGATGCTTAAGCTCAAGCTCCAATACTTCAGCCACCTCATGCAACAGCCGACTCTTTGGAACAGACCCTGATACTGGGAAAGATTGAGGGCAGGAGAAGAAGGGGATGACAGAGGATGAGATGGCTGGATGGCATCATCAACTCAATGGACATGAGTTTGAGCAAACTCTCGGAGATAGTGAATGTCAGGGAAGCCTGGTGTACTGCAGTCCATGGGGTCATAAAGAGCTGGACATGACTGACTGCACAACAAATAGTCTCTGTATACTAAGTTCAACATTTGCCTTTCCTCAGGTACATTTTCTACTGGCTCTCCTTCCCCTGGAATATGGGTACACTCTTCTATTTTAGTTTTCTGGGACTGTCAAAATAAAGTACCATAGACTGGGTGACTCAGAAATGTGTTTTTTCACAGTTCCAGAGGCTAGAAGTCCAAGATCAAGGTGTTGGCAGGGTGGGTTTCTTCTGCAATCTCTGTCCTGGGATCATAAATGGCTTTCTTGTCCTTGTGCTTTCACATGGTCTTTCCTCTATGTATGTATATCTGTGTCCTTATTGGTTCTCAGCCTTTGGCTAAGACTGAGTTTAATTTCAGCCTCTTAAAAGGAGACCAATCACTGGATAAAGGTCTGCTCTAATAATCTCACTTTAAATTAATTGCTTCTTTTTTTGTTCTTTAATATATACTTTTTTATTGAAGTCAATAAACATTGTAAGTCAATGTTTCGGATTCACAGCAAAGTGATTCAGGTGTACATATACACATATATTATTTTTCATATTATTTTCCATTATAGGTTATTACAAGATATTGACTAGGAAGTCACTGTCTCCCGGGTGAACGAGGCGGTCGCAACAAGGATGTGAGTGCAGATTCGCTCCCCTACAGACATGGGACACAGAAAGTCGAAACGGAAGCCGCCCCCTCAGAAGAAGTTGACAGGCACCCTGGAAACCCAGTTCACCTGCCCCTTCTGCCACCACGAGAAGTCCTGTGACATGAAAATGGACCGAGCCCGAAACACCGGAGTTATCTCTTGTACCGTGTGCCTAGAGGAATTCCAGACGCCCATCACCTATCTGTCAGAACCAGTGGACGTGTACAGCGATTGGATAGACGCCTGCGAGGCTGCCAATCAGTAGCGACACAGACGGCCCACCCCCTTGGCAGCCCCTCCCACTGGGTACCAATCGAGAGACATTCCAGGGTGTCCAGGGTGTGGGTCCAGGGCCTTTGCAGCCCCGAATGTGAGTGTGTGCAGAGTGGATATCTGTGTGTGTGTGTTTGTGTGTGTGTTTGTGTGTGTGTGTGTGTGTGTGTGTGTGTGTGTGCGCGCGGCTGCAGGTGCAACTGCGGGGGAGTTTTCATGGGAAGTGGGTAGAGTTGAAGGGTGGTGGGGGCCCGGGGGCCTGAAATGCTTGCTCAACAAGCCTTTGACTGGCTCCAGCCTCTAGCACCTGGGCCACTGGCTTCAGGGCCCTGTTTTCTCTAGAGGCCTGCGTCCTGACCCCACTCTGCAAGGGCA